CAAAATATGTATATTTAATTTAACTATGCGTTAGGTTAGGCGTCTATGGTAATCACAGCTTTACATTTTAAAACTCAATTTAATCACAACAAAATATGTATATTTAATTTAACTATGCGTTAGGTTAGGCGTCTATGGTAATCACAGCTTTACATTTTAAAACTCAATTTAATCACAACAAAATGTGGATTGAAGCAAGCCGCATTTCCATTTTTACGTGCTTCTTCGTGGTTGACTAACTGTGCCAAAAGCATCTCAGAAAAATTTTCCCAACACGTGTTTTTGGTCATAAGAAAGCGCACTATAAATATCTCGAATGCTTTATTTAAATGTTTCTGGAGTTTTTCAAAACTATTTGCAGCATGTAATATCATGATATGATAAATTAAAAACGGTATTTTTAATTAGTTAAAGACTTTTTTTCCACTAATGTATTGTAGAAGTTATCAAACACACAATCAGTAGGATAATGAGTAATAATATTTTGTTAAATTATATTTTCTTTAATAGAAATATGATGAATAAGAGGTTAAAAAAAGGGAATGAAGGGATGTGGGATTGCTGAGATGGGGGTAGAATGAGGGAGAGGAAGTTTGAAATGGGTTTGGGCTTGGGAATTGGGATGGTGTTGGGTGAAGTGTAAAGGAAGGAAATTGGCGTTTGGGTCAGAACTCCAATGCAACCAATGCTCCATACTTGTTGATCATTATTTAAGTTGTCAAGGGCGTTGGCAAAATGGGAGAAAGAATTGGTAGTACTGGCAGAGGCAAAACCCAAGTACATGCAGTACAATAATAAGAACCAGTACAGAGTTGGCACTTGAATGGGAAATCAAACGAGGTGAGATTGGATCGGATTGGATAGATAGTACAAGTACATCCATGTACTGCACCACAAATGTTGACTTGGCAGGTGCTGTTATTTAAGCCTGACAAGAGACTCACTCATGGGATCCTTCAAAACAAACACAGGACATGAAGGTAAGTAGTTGGTTTGGGTAAAACTTACAAGGCAGCTGGGAACAGGCAGCGCATGGATGGAGTCCCCAACAAACCCTGTTGTGCCTCTACTCATGCACTGCCTCTTCCCTGGCTGCCCTGCCAATTGCCATGCCCCCATCCTCTTTTTCTTTCTTTCTTTCTTTTTATTTGTATGCTTTCTTTAACTTCCATCAAGATCAAGGTTCCGCCTTTTTCAGTATCAGGAGTTTGTCTACTAGCTGTATGAACGAAAATCCTATACTATCCGGAATTGCATATTAAACTCACCTACATGGACTGCTGCCTCAACACTTGGTACAAGTATGAAGAAATTTAATCCCCCCACCACGCCACCTATATCTGTTGTTTGTATTTGTATAACATTATTTTACCTGAATCAGATGCAAATTGGGCACCATCCTATTTGATGCACCGTTACGAAGTAGAAGTGAAGGATGCTATTGCGTCCATTTCCTGCTGCAACAACAGAGCGTCCACGAACATATCCAGATTCTGTCCTTGCATCACCTCCTCGATTGCATGCTCTGTGATCCCTACCCGATGGTCAGTTACCCGCCCTTGCGGGAAGTTGTATGTGCGAATGCGTTCCGATCTGTCCCCACTCCCAATCTGCTTATCATCAACCATACTTACTTCACTTCACTATTTTGTATATTATTCCAACACAGCAGTAACTACATGCATACAACCAACATCATACATCCATCAATTATTTGTACCTGTTCCGATCGCAGCTTCGACCGACTGCTCTGAATTCTGCACCTTTCCTTTTCATATAGCTTTGCGCATATTACTTTAAGCGCCTTTGCCTTGTTCTGTTGGAGCCAAACAAGACCACAAACAAGTTGTTAAACAATAATACCCCATCAAAATCATACAAGCAATGGAAATGCTACATTTCATACCATATGTTGGGATCGCTCGTCTTGTATGGACACACTCAGTCCAGTTGGAATGTGAGTCACCCTAACAGCACTATTTGTGGTATTTGCATGCTGACCTCCTGAACCCCCTGATCTGAACGTATCGATTCTCAGGTCCTCGTTCTTCAACTCCACATCTACCTGCACATCCCCCCCAGCCATATCAGATTCACAACCATAATCCTTTTCCTTCTACTTAAGAAATGACTTTTTCAAAATCATTTTCCAGGTATTTCGCTGCAACAGCAAACTGGAAGAAAGTGGCTTAAAAGCGTCAAGCCAGAAGGGTTATAACCTCGTCGGCTTGAGGGAGAATGGCTACAGAAACAGCACTGGTGTGAACACGCCCAGACTTCTCTGTCACAGGAACTCGCTGCCCAAGGAAGATACTAGTTTCAATTACCATTCCTGCCTCTGATAAACAACGTTAGATAAGAAGGCTAAATGATATGCATGTAGAAAAAACCTGTACTCGGTGAATTCCACTCTCAAATTTAAGTTTTCCATAAGCCCCAGCTCCTGATATTGCAGCAACAGCCTCCTGCAGTGTAGGACCGATAAACATAAAAGACATTACTTCAAAGGTAGTTCAAATTTGCCATAAAATCACCTTATATCCTTTCAGTTCCGATTCTGTTATGTCTACCACCTCAAACTTCCAACCTTTCCTCTGTGTGTATCTCTCATACCTATTTCAACCCAAACAAAATGACCTTTAAGAACTAGAACTAGTGAATTGATGATAACCAGAAATGCCAAACATTGTATAGTCGCTCACATTTTAAATATATCCATGGCAAACAAAGAGGCTTCTTCTCCACCAGTTCCTGTAAAACTTTATATTAGCTACAGCGTAAACAGAAAAGGAGACAGAAAACATACCTCTTCACAACATGAAAACTACTCCCATAAATTTAGTAATGTCCACAGTCCTTGTTCATTAATATGCATCGTTGCCTACCTGCTCTCACCTCCAAGATGCAATCCCTCTCATCAGCATCATCCTTGGGGAGTAATGACTTGAGCAACAAGTTCTGTACTCGTTTCTCTTCTTCAACTGCCTGATCCAATTCCTCAGTTGCCATATCAAGCATGTCTTTATCCTCTGGGCACTCCGTCATCAACGTTCTCAAACCATTAATTTCCTGCAAGCGAGAAACACAGTCATAAAGAACTTCTGATTTCCTTCTGTAAATATTACGACACCACACACATTTCATTAATTGGGGAAGCGGATGCCTCCAAGCCAGTCCCGACTTCCCACTTACAAGAAATTCAGATAGGCGTCCACAATCTCAATGTGAGACACAAAACACACATACAAGTTTCACTTAAAACATTTTGGAATTTGGACAACAACCAAGCCGGTAGATGAGTGTGAAAGAACTACATGGAAAGAGATCATCCTGCACTAAAGGCAACAACAATAGTCTTCATCTTTTCAGAAGTTTGTGTTGTAAAGAAAGACAACACTCATTGTATTCCAGAATAAACTTATTTTACCTTCTGTCTGGACCTCAACTCATTTATGAGATCCATCGTATCTCTGAGTTTTCTAAGCTCCTTGTTGGCCTTTGCGTACTCAACTGGTGGGGCTTCTGGCTATCTTCAATTAATACCATGAGCAAAGCAAATTAAATCACCATTTGAGGTCTGAATTAAAAGAGAAAGAGGTACAGAAAAAATACCAGGAGAAATGGAGGAGGCGAAGATAAAATCTAGGATTTATGAAGTTCCATTTTGATTCATTAATCAAGTTTTACCACAATTAATTTTTTGTACTACTTATAATACGTCAACTTAAAACTGAATTGTGCCAGATCAACTGATTAAGGCATAGAGAGTTACGAAATCCCACCCCATGTGCACATGTTGAATTCCAAAAAAGAAAAAAAGAAAAAGAATGAATCTCGAAGCTATATGAAGAGCATACACAAAATAAAGAAAGTGAGAATATGTGGTACCCGGTTGATTATATTTAGAAGAAAAGTGCTCCTGAGCTCAATGGCCTTCAACCTATGTTCCATTATGTTGATAAGCTCCATTGATAGCTGCTGCGGTTGTATTTCACCTGCTTTAGAGAAGGTTTGAAGAAAGTGTTCGCATCTTGAGATTTATAGGAGGGTGAGCATCCAACAATACAAACAAAGATTTCGATCAAATGGTAATCACTAATAATTATATCGTACTCAGTTGGTTATATATTTCAGAAGCAGAACCCAAAGGAAAAATAATAATAATAATAATCCACAACATCCGAATATAAAAAGGGCGAAGAGGTCTAATTCAATAAAGGCGTTAGTAAGCTGTGATTAACTTGATCGCAAGGAAGAGAACGTAGAAATGAATAAAAGGGAAAGAAAATAAGAACCTTTAGAATAAAAACGAAAAGTTGGGGTTGAAAGGGGTTGGAACGGTGGTGGAAGAAAGGGGTTGGGAGTGTTTTGTACAGGATTGGTGCGCCAATGTGGAGCAAGTGTACGGATTTGTTCAACAAGCCGCAGAGTCCCTCGATTAATTCTCATAGCGCTCCGGCTCCTGTTTCAGTGACGCCAAGTAACAGTGGGACAGAAAGAAGTGCGGGAGATCGAAGATGACGGCCTCCGGCTGTGTGTGTATGTGGGAGTGAGAGAAATGGAAGTGGGCTCCAAGCTGGAAGCCCGTCACCATTATCTTTTGGGCCTAACCTTAAGCTTTGTCATTAGGTTCTGGTCCGGTTAGTTTCTAGTTTCTTTTGGTTTGGGTAGGACCCACCCTGCCTTTTCCTTTCCTTTATTCATGTCATTGTTTGTTTGTAAGGCGGGAGGTAAACGTGGAACAAACGAGCCCACGGAAATTTTCAGAAATGCAGGACGTTGAAGCCAGACTCTTGCTTGGATTCTCTCCCGGTTCTCGCCCGACTCCTTCCCAGGTGCTGTATTCACACATCTCAAATCCCTCTGTGTGCTTTAATTCTGCATTGAAAGTGAATGGCGACGCGATGCTACCAATTCCTTTACCCTTTTGTCAATTCAATTCTAAGATGATGGTGTGTGTTTGTTTAACACTGCATTGCAGGTTAAAGAAGATCGACCTGTATGTTTTTTGTGAACAATGTTAGCATACACAAAAACACAGCCATAAAAAAAAATTAATTTGCACCATTCATTTACCTATCCATACAGTGTTCTCATTACACAAGTTCTTTATCATTTCAATCGGTTCCAAATGCAGAACACAGACTTTGCCTCTGGCACAAGCCAGAATCATTCTATTCTAGAACCATTTAAGTACCCAATGGATGATCTAATTGTTATTGTGGTCATAAATCCGTGCTTCAAGATGTAATAGGAGGCGTGACTTCTGCCACCTTGAAGATGATTTAATGAGATCAAACATCTGCTTTCTCTTTTGCAACATCCAACGTTTATTTCACTTCCTAATTTCTTTCAGGATGATGTGATCCCCTTGTCAAGACTCCCAAAACCACGCAAAACAATTATACTATTACTATCCAATGCTATCTACTAGCATTACCGTCATTTTATACAACTTGTTCTATAGATAGTTTGCATCAGCAAACACTTCTCACCAAGAATGCTGGTTATACAAGATGCTCAAGGCATGTAGAGGTCCCATCCAAGTGCAGAGTAAGAAAATCTAGTCAGAACTTCAAACCAATAAATGATCCAATGATTTAAAGACATCCAACACCCAAATTATCGAAAAAACAAACTAAAATTAGAGTAATAGTCAGTCAATTTTTGGGACTAAAAGTAAAACTAAACCAACCTTGAAAATGACCAAACTGTTTTTTATCGTTAGAATGGACCAAAAACCTAACCCATCATAGTCAGTTCAGCAGCTTTAGTTTCCTCGATTAAGTTTGCACAGTTACAAGAGAGATAAAGAACGCTCACTGCAATCCCTATGGTTAATTACTTGTAAAAAACTCAATTCCTTTGAAGCTTGTCAGATTAGTTCTACAATATCTTGCCGTCGAAGTCTTTCGCTGGAATATGGATTTGGATTTCTGCCGGAAACATTGTAGGAGTCACGATCATGTTCCGGTGGCCGGTAGAAGATACGTGGAATACCAGAAATATCGACATCGGCCCTTAACGCCGGCTTTAGTGTCATTGAAAGCTTTGAGCTTAGTGGGTCCATCGACTCCAAAGGATGCGACCGTCATTATCAATATGCTTCACTTCCCTTCGATTGTATAACCGTTGAATTTCACCCTGCAGGGATTCTAATTACTTGAGCTTCATGCTTCTGTGAGAGAATCCTTGAATTCAAACAGAATACTCAAATTGATAATGTATGGAATCGGTAAATTGGATCCAATTTTAAAAATTTTAGGGTTTAGATTTTACAAATTGATAATTTAGAGGGTGGAATTTTATCACTTATAAAACTGGGAGGGTTTAATGTATACTATTGAAATTTTAAGGGTCTAATTTTTTTACTTATAAAAGTTCAAGGGTTCAATTTTTACTTAGGTCTACAATACTTTATGGGTGGTTTTTGCAATTTGTCCTTTTTTTTAATCATCTTTTTGAGATATTTTCTTGTATTGCTAGTGAAAATTGGTGTAATGGTTTGATATCAACCCATGAAAACGGTGTTAACTAGACTTGCAGAAGGGTTGGTAATTGATTCATCCATAAAAAGCAAATTGCTTTTCAACTGCAAGAGAGACATCGCAATAAAATATCCAAGAAGAAGTAGAGCGAGCTATGAGATTTTAAGCAACTATATTCAACCCCTCTAGTGTTGTCGCACCATTCATCAACACTATCCTATGAAGTATTTTAAAATTATGTTCAAGATTCAGCAAGCATCTACAAATTTCAATGAGCTATTGGGCTGTGGAAAGATGGAATGGAAACCATTATAATTAAACTTTGTTTTGCTCTCACGATAAAAGGAATTAAAATCAATATCTAGACTGAGACTGCAGGACATCCAACTTTTGTTTTGCCATACTTTGACTTGGTGCCCATTCTCAGTAGCCCCCAAACGAGGTCTTCCCTTCATAGCACTAACAAGAGCATCGTTTGTGTAAAAATGGAGAATTATGTCAACGTCCGAACCAAAGAGCACACCAGCCTTCCTAATCAATCACACAATGTTGTCCCTAGAAAGATTTATTTTCGACTGAAATAAGTAATGGTAAAATCATCACTCCCCTCCTAACATCATCTCATTCCCATCCCCCTAGATAACCAAGAGACGAAGTTTTGATCCGTTATGCCCGGGGCACCCGCACCCACCTCTAGGCCCGGATCCGGGAGATGAACTCAACCATTCTTAGAACTCAATGGCACAGTTCTATAACCTATGGAACCATTACCATTTAAGGTAATTCTTATTCAAGTAGGTTCGTAGGTTGAACTCAACCATTCACTATTTAATTCTGGTTCTAACTTCTATATCCAACTCATACAGCCAAAGGTAGCAATTTGAAACTCGCATCTTTCGTTTCTTTTATAACAGATGAAAACAGGCAGAATAGCAAAAGACTAGCAACTACCAAACCAGTATGATGAAAGGGTGGAGCAACAACAAAGCCAGATGAACGATTTGATTCTCTGTCCATTATATTACTCTCCTTGAATAGAAAACTAGTTGCCTGGCTTTCGTTAAAATACTTAACCAAACATCTCAAATCTTCCAAAACTGAGTGACTTTGCATAAATAAAGTCATGCCATGACATAACCTACAAAACAGATCAGTATCAAATATGTGCGTGCATGTATGTTACCGGTAAACAACCTCACAGATATCTCAGCAATCCCATCCCAATATTCACTTCCAATTGAATTGAATTGGCTTCTACAGAGGGAGAGCAGCTTCAACTTTTCCCCACGACTCCAAAGCAGAGCCTTTGAGTTTCTTTTTCATCTTCTCAACAACCTCTTTTGCCTCCTCCACCCTCGACATATTCACCAAACCACGAAATAGACCGTCTATTGCCTCAAATGGAGGAACCCACCTCCTCTTTATGATCTCTCTACAGGTCTCCAACGCCGAATCGAACTCTCCCTCCTTAACCATGCTCCGAACCAAAGTATAATAAGTACGCGAACTAGGGGAAACGTAGCCATCCGCCAGCATACCCTGAAGAACTTTGGTAGCTGATTCAATATCCCCTACATTGCAGAAGCCATGAATGATCATATCATAAACAGCAGAATTGGGCTTCACGCCTTTCAAAACCATCTCGTCCAACATTTTCTTAGCCCGAGCGCACTCCTTGTTTTTGCACAGCCTTGAAATCCTGTAATTGTAAGTGGCCAAATTAAACTCCAAACCCTTCTTTGAAATTTCCTTCACAATCCCATCAAAGCCGACCGAATCGCCGTTCTTCAAGTAAGCCCCTAGTAAAATATTGTACGAGTCAATATTTGGAACGATCTTAACATCCTTATACAACTCCTCGATCCAATTGCGAGCCGATTGAAGATCGTTTTGTTGAACAAAAGCTTTTAATACCAGATTGTGGGAAACCACCGTCGGAGTAACACCAAGCTTCTCCGGAATACATCTAAACATCTCATGGACCTTCTCAGGCAACGAATTGTTGAGATATACAGAGAGAACAGCACAAAGTGATTTCTCGGACAGGTCGCAAGATTTGTTCTGGATTACATGGTCGAGAGTGCGCATCGCCTGATCCGTCATGCCGGCACTGGAGTAGAGCATCATGAGGCGGATCCAGAAGCCTTCAGGTTTGAGGGAGGGCGATTTCTGGTGGGTTTGAAGGATGGCATCAATAAGGTCGAAACGCTGGGAACGGGCGAGTTTGCGGATAGATAGGTGGTAGATAGGCCGGTGGCGGCGAAAGCTGGGAAGCTGGGAAGATTGGATGAAGGTTTGAGCAAGCTTGTCAGGATCTGATTCGGACAAAATAGCGGATTTGGCAGCACGAAATGAAGGGAATGGCAAATCGGGATTAGGTTGAATGGGTGCAGTAGTTGAATAAGTGAAAGAAGAAAGGAGTTTGGAAGGCAGGGGCAAACATCTTGGAGTTCTGGAGAGAGCCGCGGCCATGGCGACGCGAAATAAGGGCTTTAGAGAATACGGAGTCTGCAGTGAAACCGACGACTGGGCTTGGTAGGGTTTAGGCGCTTTTTGTATGTATTGCCCTCTGCGTATCGCATTTGCCGATCAATCGGGCACAGACTCGGTGAGTGAGGACCGGAGAGCATGGAAATAATAATAATAAAATCAGACAAAATAATATTCATTAACTTTTAAAAATTAAAAGTAGGTTTTAGTAATATCCATCCACTTTAAAAAATCAAAAGTTTCCTTTTTTTTTTTTTCAAAATTACTTTTCTACAACTTTTCTATTAAAATGGAAACCGAAAATAAACATAGATTTAACTTATAAAATAGCAACTTAGCATATATGATAAAAGTTTCAATCATATCATTATCATCTCTAAAATTTCATTTTAACCTTTAACATTTAAAATTGTTTCAAAATTATCTTGTTAACCTTCTGGTTACACATAAAGACTCAAAAGTAAATGTTACACATCGACGTTATCTCACATATTCAAAATTAATGATTGTAATCACATTCAAAATTGATTGGATAATAAGAGAAGCAACTTTATGAGATATAGCTCTAGTTAAAATGATGAGAGAAGTGGCATATTGTGAGACAAGTAACCTCACCCAACACTTGAGTCAAATGAGAAGTAGGATAATTGAGAAAACTTCACAGTTCATGAGAGTAATATGTTTATGAGAACAAATTTGTGGAAGAGTGGAGTCAATTAAAAGCATAGGTCTAAGCCCGATGAACAACAAAAAAATAGACCACCTATCAAAGGAATACAATTTCAATTCTCAAATATGAGAAATATATCAATAAACAAGGGTCTTCTACGTAATATCAATCTTGACTTCTTTATTTGTCTCTTCATCTCCTTCATTCACGTCTTAACATTAATTTTCATCAATTGATTGTGAGATATAGACTGTAAGTTTTGTATGACCTATGTAGTTTAATTTTGACCCTAACAGAAAAATTCCAACAATTTTTTTTATCGTGAGATAATAAAACAATATTTTTACGATCCTAATCCTTAAACTGTTTCTCCTACCTCCAAACAATATCATAACATTGTTTCGAATGTGACTAAGACACTTTGATTATTCTTTTTCTATAACTCACCACAACGTCATATTTTCATACTCGTTTTAACTGAGGAAGATAGTGAAATGGTTGTTTTGAAACAATTTTAAGGTTGATGATTAAAAAGAAACATTTTAAATGTAATAATAGAATTGAAACATATCATAAAATTTAGGGGCATAAACCTATAATCTTTACCACGTGCACCACTATTTTACCAGTCACGCTACGTTACTTTTCCATTTTTATTTTAATGAAAAAGTTGACAAAATAATTTAACAACCTAGAATTTTAATTGTAAAAATAAAACTCTCCAGAGTTTAAAGATATTATATCGAAACCTACCATCCGGGAAACATTTTGTATATTTTAACAACGAAATTTCAATTAATGAAAATTCATATTGCTATATTTAGATAGGATTACGATTTTACAAATATATGACTTAAAAAAAAGTGCATGACTATTTAAACATTTTTTTTAATTCTCATTTTATCTTCGTATGTCAATTTTTTTTAATTCTCATTTTATCTTCGTATATCAATCATTCACGTATGTCTATGTACATAATTGATACATGTCTATCATGGATAGACTCTATAATTTCTAAGCTATATTATAAATGGATTTGGTCGATTTTTTTATTTTTTCATTATTGTTATTATTATTTTTACTATATTTATAAAATTCGAAATGTTGTTGCCATATACGTAATTAGTTGGGCTTCTTTGGTTGTATACGCTACTGCCCCAAGTAGTAATAATATAGAGTATAATAGCTTTTGTATGCTAAAATTACAAGAAATGAAATAAGCAACCATGAATATTAAAAAAAAAATCCATCCCTAAAACGAGTGGAGAATATTTGGGAGAGAGAAATTGTAACTGTATATTTCAATCCACTAACAATTATATTGTTTGAGAAAAGTTTATATAGGCACTTTGGCTTTAACAGACTCTAGACCTATTTAACAAACTCTGGGCTTTCCGACTACACTTAGTTACATTTTGTAACAATATTTCTAGGGTTTTAATGATTCACCTTCACACCTCCCTCAAGTAGCGGTGATAGAGCTTCGTGAGAGCAGATCAGCTATCTGAGCAATCGAAGGTAGGTGTTGTACTTTGATCTTTTTAGCTATAACAAGGTCTCTAAGGAAATAGATATATATTTCAACATGTTTTGTTCTTGAGTGTAGGATTGGATTTGAGCTGAGATCTATTGAGCTTAGGTTGTCACACCATAGGATTGGCGTCTAGGGAACCGCAATTTGTAGCTCGTGGAACAATGTCTTCAGCCATATCAGTTCAGAGGCGGCTAAGGCTAATGCACAATACTCGACTTCTGTGCTTGACCTCGAAATTATTGTTTGTTTCTTTGACCACCAGGAAATAGGATTGCCACCAAGATATACACAGAATCCAGATGTGGATTTTCTATCATCTGGGTCTGATGCCCAGTCGACGTCAAAATAGGCTGTAAGAGTCATGTGTGAGGGTTTTTGGAGAAGGAGTCCATTATCAAATGTCTCTTTTAGATATCTAAGTATACGTTTAACAAGTTGACAGTGTGTAGTGGTAGGTGCATCCATAAATTGGCATGCTTTATTAACTGAGTAGGATAGTTCCGGTCTAGTGAGTGTGACATACTGAAAAGCCCCTACAATGCTTCTGTATTGAAAAGAATCAGAAAGTGGGTCCCCCTATAAGATAGATCCAATTACCATAGGTGTAGAAATAGCATTAGCTTCCATCATATTAGCTCTTTGTTGCAGATCTATTATATATTTCGATTGTGAGAGAAAAATACTTTCATTGGTAGGATAGGAGACTTCGATGCCTAAAAAGTAGCTGAGCTTTCCCAAATCCTTTAATGAGAATTTTCTATGAAGTGTAGAAATCAAGTTTTGTATGTCAGCCTCATAACTCCCGTCATCCACATAAATCAAGATGTAGCAGCTATGGTTACCATATAGTCTGTAGAAGAGAGATGGATCAGCTTTAGAACCAATAAATCCAAGGGAAATGATAAAAGAACTTAGGCGTTTGAACCAGGCTCTAGGTGCCTGTTTAAGGCGATAAAGAGCTTTTCGTAATTTGCATACGAGATATTTTTAGTGAGGAAATATGAAATCAGTAGGCTGATCCATAAGTACTGTCTCATTTAGAAGTCTGTGCAAAAACGCATTGTTGATATCTATTTGTCTGAGAGACCAACCCTTAGCTAGAGCTAATGTGAATAAAACTTGAATAGTAATAGGTTTAACAACTGGGCTAAACGTCTTTGAGTAGTCAATATCTATTGTTTGATGGAATCCTTTTGCCACTAGACGTGCTATATAACGGGAAATAGATCCATCTGTGTTGCGTTTTATTTTGAACACCCAATTACAACCTACTATATTTTGATTTGGCAGAGGATTAACTAGTTCCCATGTCTCATTCTTCGTTAGAGCTAAATATTCTTCTTCCATGGCCTTTTTCCAATGGCTATGCTTTAAGGCTTCCTTAACTTCTGTGGGCTCAATTTCTTTGTAATAAGCTAGGTAAGCTTTATGCTTAAAAATGTCATTCTTTCCCCTCGTAACCATGCTGTGAGTATTTTGTATAAGTGTTGGATGGACAATAGAATTAGTTGCTATGGGAACAGTCTCTATAGGTGGTGGTGTATTGGAGGGTAGATTAGGAGAAGATATGAGTGGGGTAGTTTCTGTGGGTGGTCTAGATGGGATAGGGTCCATAGGAATGTTTAGGTCAGTTAAGTAATGCTAGGTGGTAAAGAAGGAGAAGTTGGATCTTTGGGAGAATGAGAAGGAGAATTATTTATTGAGGTATGAGAGATTGGATGAGATATAGGGGATAACGAGAAAGAGGCAGTAGGTATGGATGATGATGACATATGATTAGGTATTTGAGGTAAAGTAGATAGAGTGGTTGTGACAGTAGGGAAGTGAGAGAGTTTGAGGATAGGAGAAATATTATGAGTTCAAAAAGGGAAAAAGGTCTCATTGAATGTGACATTTCGAGAAATATATAAATGTCCAGTAGAGGATAGACATTTATATCCCTTGTGAATGTTACTATAGCCAAGAAAAATGCAGGGAGTAGAGCGGGGTTGAAATTTATGAGAGTTATATGGGCGGAGACAGGGGAAACAGAGACATCCAAAGGTTTTGAGGAGTGAATAGTTGGGTTTTTGGTGAAAAAGTCTCTCCATAGGGCTTACCCAATCAAGATTAGGTGTAGGGAGCCTATTTATAAGGTAAATAGCAGATGAGAATGCATCATCCCAGAATTCTAGGGGCATGGAAGAGTGAGATAGTAATGTTCGGCCAACTTCAACTACATGGCTATGCTTTCTTTCTACAATGTCATTCTGTTGAGATGTATAGGGCAAGAGAAGCGATGTTCTATTCCATTTGATTTGAGATAGGGAGTAAAGGCTTTGAATTCGCCACCACCATCAGATTGGAAGTTGAGAATGGAAGAGTTTAGTCATTTTTCAATGAATGATTTAAATTGAATGAAGGCAGATAAGGCTTGAGACTTGGTTTCTAAGAAATAGATCCAAATGTATTTGGAATAGACATCAATGAATGTAATATAGTATTTGAAATTATTTCGAGAGGTTTTAGAAGCTGGCCCCCCATAAGTCAGATACAATGAATTGAAGAGGAGTAGTGTATATGGTTTGAGATGGAGTAAAAGGTAGAGAATGGCTTTTGCCCAATGCACAAGCAGTACAAAATGAGTACTTTTTATTGAAATGGGAATTAGGATTACATTCATTTAGAACTTTATTTACAACAAGATTAGAGGGATGCCCTAATCTACTATTCCATATATCCATTGGAGAATTACATTTTGGGAGAGTAGATAGTGATGGATGTTCTGAAGTGGTATGAAGAACATGGTTGGTGATGAATTTGTTTGTAGAATCCTTGGGAGATGCCTTTAGCTTGAATGAGTAGAGCCCATTATGGAGAGAACCTTGAAGAATTACCAGTGTAGCGTTCCTTAACAAAACAAAAATTAGGATGAAATTTGAAATAAACTTGATTCTCCCTAGCAAATTGGCTAACACTAAGTAGGTTTTTAGTAACTGAGGGAACATATAATAGATTTTGTAGTTGAAAATTTTGGTTGGTAGAGGTGAGAAGAGAGGAATAACTGGAGTGGGTAATAGACAAACTTGTCCCATTGGCAGTATGAATTTGCTGTCCATCCAGTACTTCATTTTTCACAGTAAGGTTATTCAAGTCATTTGTAATGTGATTGGTGGCACATGAATCGGGATACCAATTTGTATCTTTGTTGAATTCGGAAGCCATCAACATTGTCGACATATTATTCTATTGTGGGAATGATGCTGCTGATTGATGTGGATGAGTTCTGCCATTGTAGTTCATTCCAGGATTAGAGTTAGTGGGTACTCGAAAGTAACATTTATCTGCTGTGTGACAAAATTTGTGACATATTTGGCACTGTATTCTAGTTCTTGAATACCATTGTCTACCTCCCCCTCTTTGATTTCTTCCTCTACCACGATTGTTGTTATAATTGCCTCTATTGTTGTATTGCTGTGTATGATGGTTTCTTGGATTTTCATTATTATGTGGCCCTGTTTACTGCTGTTGAGCAAGATTTACAGACGGTAGAGATGAATCTTTCATGTTTGATGCTGCCAATTCTTTTTCCATTCGACTTTCATGAGATAGTAATAAAGAAGTAACTTCTTGAATTGATACCGATCATGTCTTTACAGTAATTACCGCCACAGTGGACTCATATTCGACACCTAATCCTGATTGAATGTGTAACACGTGATCTTCTGTAGAGATAGTTTTCCCTGTGAATCAATTAGATTCTTGATTTGGTGCATGTAATCTTTAAGTGTGAGACTTCCTTTTCGGAGATTTTGTAGCTTGGTTCTAAGTTTCATAACTTTGACAAGATTTCTGCTGGTGAACATTTGTTCAAGATTACTTCATACTTCTTTTGATGTCTTGCAATGAAGGAGATCAGCAAGAATCTTCTCACCCATTGATCCCAGTAGCCACGACATTATAAGTCTATCTTATTTCTTCCATTTTGTAGATGTTGGATTCAATCTTTGTGTTGATTCTGAGTTTTCTGTGATTGTCAGATATTTTTGTGGGGCTTCAAATTCTTCATCAATTAAGTCTTCCAATCCATGACCTTCTAATGCAGCAAGAACCTGAAAAAGGTTGTTATCTTGTTACCTAGATTTATGGTTTGTGTAGCAGCATTCACAGTGACTTCCGAATTGACTTATGTGGAATCAATCATTCTTGAATTGTTGTTTAGACTTCAGTGCTCTGATACCATAAAGCGAGTGGAGAATATTTGGGAGAGAGAAATTGTAATTGTATATTTCAATCCACTGACAATTACATTGTTTGAGAAAAGTTTATATAGGCACTTTGGGCCTATTTAACAAACTTTGGGCTTTCCAACTACACTCAGTTACATTTTGTAACAATATCTCTAGGGTTTTAATGATTCACCTTCACAATCTGGATTTGGTATAAATATATTTTTTAGTCTTTAATACTTTCATCATTTATATATTGAATTGTTTTGATCAAAATCTTATCATCATAAACATTCCAAAATTAACCATTAATTAAATTGATAATGTGATATCAAAATACATAATTAAAAAATATTGTATGTTTTAAAATAGACAAACTTCTCACTTATAAAGTAAGAACTTACTTAAACATTTGACTTGACATATATTAACAATAATTCGTTGCCAAAGCGAGCATAGCTCAACGATAATTGACACAGTTTTGATACAACTCGTAAAAATGATCATTTTTAAGTCATATATGAGAACTCTTTTTAAATTTAGTGATTATGAGATTTTAATTGGAAAACAAAAAATTAATATATAAACAATAGAATGTAAACTTCTAAAATATTGAAAACCAAGTAAAGTAACCCAAACACTAATGATCCAATCCAATATATATTTAGACATATTAAAATGAAAAATTAAATTTAAATCGAATGGTCTAAAGTAATAAGTAAACTACAAAGTGAGACATTCATTCTATTTAATTAGTGATTGTATTTAGTAGAAAATTTAGTTGGAATGAGGATTCGATGGTAATGAATTTAGAGGTAACGCTTAGTAGCTATACTTCAAACGTTATTGTATATGTGCAGTTTCAGCAACAAATTTATTAAACTTAGAACAAATAATGCATCCAAGTAGGAACATGACAAGCTAAAGCAAACATAGCTCATGGTACTTTGACACCTATCTCCAAGCAAGAGGTTGTAAATTCGATATTACATCCCATGTATTGTATATTGACAAAAACAAAAAACAAAAAAAAAGAGTAGAAACATGACAAAATATAGACGTTTTCATTGATCATATGTAACAAGTTCGACAGACTTAGAACAAACGTGAAGTTCGGTTAAAAAATTATTATGAGAAATATAAAATATAGAGTTGAACCTATTTCAACAAATAAACCTCCAAAGTAAAGGTGTATTTTTGTCGGTATAATTGATTAATTTAGAAATGCAAAAATATTAATAAAATACCAACTTTAACCTAGCTCAATTGATTACGACATATTTTTGTCGAAAACAAAAATTGATTTTCAATTGATTACGACATATTTCTGTCGAAAACAAAAATTGATTAGGACATAAAGTAACTTTATGCAAGGTTAGAAGTTCAAATTCTTATTCTCAGGTGATGGAAAAATAAATGATCATAATATGAATATCTAGAAATATATTTATTAATTTTGTTTTTTCAAGTAATAAAAAAATAGAATAATATAATTGACATACTTATCTTAAATAGGTGGTCGTGAATTCAAATTTCCACTCCCATATTTTGTAGTGACAAAAATCAATGAAATACAATGCAGTTGTATTGATTCATTAACGAAAGTAAGTTGAGTTTGACATAATTTTTTAAATAGTGAAAGTAGTTTAAACTTTAAAGGGCTTTTATAATTTGTTTTCTCGTGCAACTTAATTGCATGATTTTTAAAAGCATTTGAGCATGTTTAAAAGAAAGTATTGAACAAGTGCGGCGTGTTTGATATGAAGTGTCGGCGATGATCCTGAGCATTTTGGTTAGTTAAAAAGTTTTTTTTTTTTTTTTAAAAGAAAAAGTAGGTATTGCTTGAAGACTATAGCAAAATAGACCAAACAATATGGAATGTAGCAAAACAATTGTAAAAATAGCCCAAAAAATCGTGTAAATTCCAAACTTAAATATAAAAAAGCTTAAATTTTCAATTGAATTGTCACTAAAAAGAAGTCTCACATTAGTTAAGAAAGAGAGTTATCATAAATATAAGGACGAAGACAATTATCTTTATTGATATAAAACTTTTTGGGTGAAACCAAAAAGTAAAGTATTATGTCCAAAGCGGATTCACTAAGTTATTACGTGTATCATTTATTTACTAACCATTTTTTATTACATCATATGTGGGGATGAAGATTAAACCTCCGACCTCTAGAAAACGAGCAAGATGCATTAACCGTAAGCTAAACTCATATTAATATTTACTAACTAATTAAATGTGAATTAATTCACTAATGTCACCTCTAATAACCAATGCCATACATAAACTTATTTGTGTATCACCATTTCAATATGAAAATAAATAACAAGCTAATGAGTTAGTGAATCAATGAAAAATTGTTTTAGTAGAGAATTGGTAATGTTTCAGTTTTGATCGCTTGGAAGATTTGTAGTAGCATGAATCAAATCATAACTTCGAAATAGGGGCGAACACTCCGAAGATGAAGTTGTTTTATTTACAGAATTGTAACTATGGTTCAACCATGTAGCACGTTACCACGAATTTCAGCATATAACATGCAATTATGGTTAGTAGAACAGTTGAGCAATTATAATCCAGAGGAAGCTTGACTGTATAGATCGGACTTTAGAAAATATATATAATACATACCTAGTTTGAATATGAAAGCCGAAGTAAATACTCTAGTTGGATGTTATTTTTTGACACATGGCACGTGGATATGTCCTCTAACGGGTAATGATGGTAAAATGTAAATATTAGAAATGTTAAAAATGAACGAATAAAAAATGTGAAATTTAGGTAATTAAAATTTGAGGTGAATGGGAGTGAGTGAAAACTGGGAAGAAAATAAATGATAATATTGACAAAAAAAAAGTACAAGTGGGAATTGGGAAAAAGGTCGTTTTGTGGTGTGTAGATTGTAGAGAGTAGATGTATAGATATAATGATAATGACAGAGAAAATAAGCCAACCAAACCCGGCCGACTGTAAGAAAGAATACGCACGTTGAGTTCATTCCATTTTGAGTTTTGACCACGTTTCTAGATCTAAACTGTTTAAATTCAATACCAATATTATTAATTATCGGCATGGCCGGCAAAAAAAATTAATAATAAAAAGGAAAACGATATTGATAATTGACGGGTTTCCTTTTTATTTTTTCTTATTGATCTCCCCAATCCCCAATCCCCATGTCATGTTTTTGTTTTGAGTTTGAGTGTTATAAATTCAATTCAATTAATTCAACTCCTTTCAGTTTGAATCCAGATCCACTGTCAATCCACCCACCTATTTAGCAATGCCACCCAAACCATGCGCGCCTTGCCTATGAATTTTAGCTTACATCTTACCTAATTTTTCAAAATAAGTTTTTTCGACATTTTGTTAGTGTTAGCAAGCACATAAAATTACGTCGGAAAATAGTTATATTTAGTTTTTTTTCAGAAGTCAAAACTCAGACAAACAAAAACACATGCGAAACAATCCGGCCACTAGTGAAAAATGAATTTACAATCGCAATCTGTAGATTCATTTTCTGTAGCTTCCGTCACGCCATGCTACACCACACCACATCGTCGTGAAATTATTTTATAGTAATGTTTTGTGAACCGCCGTGTTTGAATTTTGTTAATGAGGAAAGAGGAAACGTAAGAGTAGTTTGATTTTTTTGAAAAGAAAAATATTGAAGAAAACGACGCGTGATGGGTAAAAAAGGAAGAGAAGCGGCTCCGTCCAGTCCACGTGGTGCTTGCAAAAATTTAGAAGCCTCACTATTTTATCACTCCTCTCCATTTTCTGAGGCTTCCAATGTTTTGCCCGAAATCAGAAACCAAAGCCCAAGCCCTCTCTCTCTCTCTGTGGCTGCTCTTCTCTTTCTTCTTTTACTTTGCTCGCCCACGCACTCTCCCCCGTTCCCATTTTCCCCCAATTCTCGCTCCTCCCCGCTTCCTGGGATATCAAAAATCCACTTCTACTTACCATCTCTCGCATTTGGATTATCAATTGCTCCGGAAATTCTTGTTTCTGCCTCTTTTTCATGGTCGCCCCATCGCACTAACCTCTGCTCCACCTTTCATTCTATCGTCGTCTTCATTTTGGCGACGGCGATTACCTCAATTGCTTTACTACCTCTGCCCGTCTTTTGCGTACAGAGGTCAGTACCGCCTCCCAATCCATGTTTTTTCCTTATGATTTCATCTGGGCTTCTCTCCTTTTTTCTGCATCTAAATGATTATGCACTTTACATCCGCTAGCTTTGGCTTCTCGAACTCCTTTTCTCAACATTGCCCATGTAATAACTTCACTGTCTTCACCCCCTCTCACACAACTCCCAACCCCCTTTCCACTCCTTTATCTAGAAAAAGAAGAAAACAGTTTTCCGCCGCTTTCGTTCACCGATATTTCAGAAGAAAATGGTTCTTGGCTTGTTCTATTTCTCCCGATGGCGCAAGTCGCAACTTGAATCTAGATTTTGCAAGTTCCACGAGGAGGGGTGCCAAAAGTTTTGTAGTGAAGCATATTGCCGATGAATTGGAAAGGGAAGAATTCTCCCAGGACTCATCTGTGCAAGTGGGATCAAATTTCACTGGTTTCCAGGAGGATCCTATTGTTGATAAGTTACGGACCCAGCTAGGAGTCATACACCCCATCCCTTCGCCACCTATTAATCGAAACATTGTTGGACTTTTTGTCTTCTTTTTCTTTGTTGGAGTTGTCTTCGACAAGTTATGGACATTTAGAAGGAGAAATAAATCGAGAAATGAGGACGGGCGTCGCGGCACATGGCCGCAGGTGCCGACTAGTTTCTCGTCGTTTTTGGAGAAGGATTTACAAAGGAAAGAGTCGGTGGAGTGGGTGAATATGGTTTTGGGTAAGTTATGGAAAGTCTATCGACCTGGTCTCGAGAATTGGCTTGTCGGGTTGTTGCAACCCGTTATTGATAATTTGAAAAAACCTGATTATGTGGAGAGGGTGGAAATTAAGCAGTTCTCCTTGGGGGAAGAACCACTGTCAGTTAGGAATGTTGAGAGGCGAACATCCCGTCGAGCCAACGATTTGCAGTAAGTTAATTTTAAATCCGTCTATCAAACTTCACATGTACCTTTTGGCTGTGATTCAATCCCTTCCTGCGATGTTTACTGGCGATACCTTTCCATGAATTTACACTAGTCATTATTGTTTTTCAATGCTGTCCAGGTACCAAATTGGTCTGCGTTATACTGGCGGTGCTCGTATGTTATTAATGCTATCGCTAAAATTTGGCATCATCCCCATTGTTGTTCCTGTTGGTGTCCGAGATTTTGACATAGATGGTGAATTATGGGTCAAGTTGCGGCTTATTCCAGCTGAGCCTTGGGTAGGTGCTGTCTCATGGGCATTTGTTTCACTCCCAAAGATCAAATTTGAGTTGTCACCGTTCCGCTTGTTCAATTTAATGGGTATGTTATGTCGTACTTTCTTGACTTTGATAACGAATTACATTTTATAGCTAGTCACTGCAAGGACGCCATAGTGAGGTTTTACAGGGAAGCATGAAAGGTGTTTTAATTTTATGTTCTTTAGTTTATCCTTATGTTTTTAGTAGGCATGGTTGTGGAGGTAAAATTTGTTTCTTAAGAATAGTTTTCTTTGCTCTAAATTTGACGTTTAGATGCTGATTGTACGTTTCTCTCTTTTTTCCATCTTTTTGCTGCACGCTTGGGAAAACATCAGCCATTCCTGTTCTCTCCATGTAAGTACAACTTTAATCTTAATTGCTTATATAGTTGCTTTATAAAGTTGCTTAGCTCAAGGAAGGAATAGAGGCAATCCTTTCCATATTAGCATTGCTGATTGCTCTTTCTCTCAGAGAACTTTTGTTTCTTTTCTTTTTGAGTTCAACGAGTGGGAGTGAGAATTCAAATCTTCGACCTTTTGGTCAAGGATATATGCTTTAACCAGTTGTTCTAGGCTTATTGGCCTCTATGATAAATTTTTGTCTATATCACTATTTTGACTATATTTTGCCAGAAAGTGGTGCATTGATATTCTATATCACATTTGTACCATTGAATATTTTTCTAGTTCAATTCATGATTTGTACGAGCTAATGATAGCCTGAATTCCTTGGCAATAGTTCTCAGACTAGAAAAATAAGACTGCTATTATTGAAGCTGGATCGTGTTATGAAGTAGTGCCCAACTATACTAATAACGAATTAAATATATTGATCAGAATCAGTTTTCTGAGTGTCATTGTGCAGTGGCAGTTCACAGCATAATTTGCTCATGTAGCTGATAATTATATCCAAGTATTCTAGTTATTTTTAGGCTTGCTTTTCCCAATCCAGCTGACCTGAATGCTTATTATGTTTCGTAGGTTTTTGACAAAACTTCTCACTGAGGATTTACCTAAATTATTTGTACGGCCAAAAAAGATAGTTCTAGATTTCCAAAAAGGTAAAGCAGTTGGACCTGTTACAGACGAGGTTAAATCAGGAGACATGCAGGAGGGAAATAAAGATTCCGTTGGGGAACTTTCAATAACCCTTGTAGATGCTCGGAAGCTTTCTTACGTCTTCTATGGTAATAATTGCTATTTTATCCATTTTTTCCATTCTTGGAAACCATGCTTTGTGAATTACTGAATTTCTGCACTCAACTGTCAAGTATTTGTGGTGCCTATCAACATCAACATGATACTGACACTTGCAAAAACAATTTTTTTGTAGAACCTAATGTATTCACATATCTCCATTAGAAGTTCCTAAACGGAACTACTTTATGTCTTTGATAGAACATATTTTTTAATATAAATATAATTTTATTTTTATTTTTATAAAATATATTCTCTAATGTATCTTTGTATCGTTTACCCCTACAAAATACCAAAAAAAAATTGAACCATCTTAGAAGGGATATAATTAAATTCCTTGATTGGTTCTTCCCTGAGAAATGATCCCTGCTTTCAGAAAGTTACCATCTGATTTCACAGTCAGATAGTAATTACTATAAATTTGTGCTTCTTTATTTTACTCATTGATCTGATTCCTGTTATTCTCAGGAAAAACAGACCCATACGTCATTTTAAGCTTGGGTGATCAAATAATACGCAGCAAAAAGAACAGTCAGACCACTGTCATTGGACCACCTGGTGAGCCAATCTGGAATCAGGTGGAGCTCATTTCTGATTATCTTTTGTTTTACCGGAGAACATGTTCCATTAACAATATTGGTCAAACTGTTATTTGGTTGTTTTTGGGTTCATTCGAAGTTGTCAATCTCTTTATGTACTCACGTGTATTGGGGACATTGGCAGGATTTTCATATGCTTGTTGCAAATCCTAGGAAACAGAAATTGTACATCCAAGTGAAAGATTCTCTTGGATTTGCAGATTTGACCGTTGGTAATGCAGAGGTAACTTATTATTTAAACTTATGATAGTTAGACTTCGAAATATCTAATGATATTGCATTTAAGGAGAAGTTGAAACTGGTGAAACCATGCTTCATTTCTTTGTTTGCTTATCTTTATATTCGATCAGTAACTGTCCATCGTATCTTTATCTCTCTTGTAACTGTGCAAACTTAATCGAGGAAACTAAAGCTGCTGAACTGACTATGTTGGGTTAGGTTTTTGGTCTATTCTAACGATAAAAATCAGTTTGGTCATTTTCAAGGTTGGTTTAGTTTTACTTTTAGTCCCAAAAATTGACTGACTATTACTCTAATTTTAGTTTGTTTTTTCTATAATTTGGGGGTTGGATGTCTTTAAATCATTAGATCATTTATTTGTTTGAAGTTCTAACTAGATTTTCTTACTCTGCACTTGGATGGGACCTCTACATGCCTTGAGCATCTTGTATAACCAGCATTCTTGGTGAGAAGTGTTTGCTGATGCAAACTATCTATAGAACAAGTTGTATAAAATGACGGTAATGCTAGTAGATAGCATTGGATAGTAATAGTATATTGTTTTGCGTGGTTTTGGGAGTCTTGACAAGGGGATCACATCATCCTGAAAGAAATTAGGAAGTGAAATAAAACGTTGGATGTTGCTAAAGAGAAAGCAGATGTTTGATCTCATTAAATCATCTTCAAGGTGGCAGAAGTCACGCCTCCTATTACATCTTGAAGCACGGATTTATGACCACAATAACAATTAGATCATCCATTGGGTACTTAAATGGTTCTAGAATAGAATGATTCTGGCTTGTGCCAGAGGCAAAGTCTGTGTTCTGCATTTGGAACCGATTGAAATGATAAAGCACTTGTGTAATGAGAACAATGTATGGATTGGTAAATGAATGGTGCAAATTAATTTTTTTTTATGGCTGTGTTTTTGTGTATGGTAACATTCTTCACAAAAAACATACAGGTCGATCTTGGATCTCTTCAAGATACTGTACCAACAGACAAAATTGTTGTTTTAGGAGGAGGTTGGGGACTCTTTAGAAATAGGTCTTCTGGAGAAATACTACTGAGATTGACATACAAAGCATATGTTGAGGATGAAGAGGACGACAAGGCTGCTGCATCAGAAGCAAATGTGTTGGATATAGATATTTCAGATGACGAGTCATCTGATTCTGATGAACCAAATGGTGCTTATGAGAAAGAGGGTGAGAAGGATGCTGCAAAAGAAACTGAAAAGGAATCGTTCATGGACGTTCTAGCGGCTTTGATAGTGAGCGAAGAATTTCAGGGGATAGTGACATCCGAAACACTGAATACAATACTTCAGAATGATGCCACTTCTACTAGCACAAGGACGACAAGGTCGAGCTCGAGATCACGTGATGCGGCTACTGACACCAAAACCAAACCCATGGTTTCTGGCAACGGGACTGGAGGTTTAACTGGTAATGTTGTTGTCTAGTTTCGTATATATCTGTATTTTAATGTGATGTTTGGATGGTGGTGAAGTGTTCTAATATGACGTGGACAATTGCAGAATCGGCATTGTTTTGGCTTGCTGCGATCACAAGTATATCTGTGCTTATTGCTATCAACATTGGTGGTTCGAATTTCTTCAATCCATGATCCAATGCCACTCCCTCTCAAGTCTCATCGAAGCTTTGCATGCGTAGTAGAAGATTTTAGTAGCAACGGAGCCCCCTTGGTAGTAAGCTGGCTGTGGCTCGCCCTTTATACGCATTGAACAATGAGAATCAACCAAAGTTAACTCCTGTTCGGTTTGTATATAAGTCACTAACGGAGCAATATCCTGTTGGCGGCATACCAATTTTGACGTTGTATTATAATAACAAATTTACACCGTTTACATCAACTTGACACCACACCTATCCTTTATCCTCCCGATAGCAGGAGGCAAATTTTTGCCCAAGCAACAAATTACAACCGAATGCGACCAACAAACATGGAAGACTACTATTGCTTTCGAATTTAGAGAAATTTGTGAAAATGAAGAGAAATTGAGGCAATTAAGTGAAAATTATGAAATTATTCCTTTGCAAAAAAAATTATGAAATTCTTAATTCTTAATTTATTTGAGTGCAACACGTGTATGTCCCCATCATCCAGCATGTCATATGCCACATTAGCAAAATGTTGAATCACCTCTCACATGTATTTTTTTTTTCAAACTTGTTTTGGTCCTAACTTTTTGTTAGGACTCCGATTCGTGTAGTTTAAAATGCATCAAAATTGTTTTGGTCCTAACTTTTTGTTAGGACTCCGATTCGTGTAGTTTAAAATGCGTTGAAGTTGACTCTTCGAGCTCTCTATTACGAACACTTTGAAATACTAAAATCATCAATAAATGTATTTTGTTGTCATCAAAATATATAATATGATTAAAGCTCGTAAAATCAACGTGAGCTCACACATATTGGAGCATCCTATTTTGAATGAAAAGTATCAAATTATAGTAAAAACTAGCATAGTTTTTCAAAAAAAAAAAAAAAAGAGGCCCACATATTAAATGACAACACCCTGCAGACCAAAATCCAAACATAAGAAACCCAAAAATAAGCCCAAAACGTGAAAGCTCATAAAAACCTACATTTCGATTTCCCTCTGATTTTCATATGATATACTGTTGATATTTGTTTTTTATATACTACTGTTATAAGTGTTTGATATATTACTGATGTCATAGTCTCATATACGCCTGATTTGAGTGATTCATATCAATATGTATGTCTGATATAAATGTGATATACTACTGATATGTATATCTGATATACATGTGATATACTATTTATACGAGCGTCTGATATATTGTTGATATTAGTGTTTGGCATACTGTTGATATGAGTCTCTAATATACTAGTTTTATGAGTGTTTGATATAATGCTAATATTAATGTTTGATATACTACTGATGTGATGATCTGATATACACATGATATTATTATTTCATATCAATACGTATGTCTGATATAAAGGTGATATACTATTGATATGAGTGTATAATATACTACTGATATGTATATTTGATATACTATTTATTTGAGTGTTTGATATACTGCTGATATTCGTGTTTGATATACCACTAATATAAGTGTATGATATACTAATGATGTCATAGTCTCATATATGCTTGATATACTACTGATATGAATGTTTAATATACACCGAAATGATTGTTTGATATACTACTATATATGAGTGTCTGATATACTATTGATGTGATAGTTTGATTTACATATGATATAATGCTGATTTTACTTTAACAGGATAATGAAATATGATATCATGATGCAAAAGTACAACAATATTCAAAATTAGAATCGATAGATAACATTTTCAAGATGCTAACATCAACCCAAATAGAAATCTTTAGAAGTTGACAATTTGGACACTTTATGTCATTTAATATTAGGAGATGCCAACTACGGTTATTAGTACATCTAATTTGCCGAATATCTGCCCACGGTATGCACTGATATTCAATCTAAATGGGAACTTTGTAAGATTTCGATGGAGAGATTTTAGCTTGATTACATTTTAAAATTATTTTTATGAATACCCCAATATTAACCAGATTCAAGGATACATCATATGTATATAAGAGGTACATCAGATGTATATCAGATACAGATATACATCGGGTGTATATCAAATACAGATTGGATCTATATTAGTTACAGATATACATCGAATATATATCAGATATAGATTTGATGTATATAAGTTACATATATACATCGGATGTACATCAAATATCATAATAGTGAAATTAGAATAATAAAAATTTAAATATTTTGTTATATTTGAAAATTTAAAAAACTGGTGATATTTTTTGAAATACATAAAATATTTTTGCTGCGCCGTACAATTATCAACAAGAAAGATGAGGATTTGACGTACAAGTTTTATCCGTGAATATGGGATGGAATTGGAAGCCATCTACGTGAAAGAGTTTGAGAAGACTTTTCATAACCTCGATTTTAAATGAAATACTTTTTTTTCTCTATAAATCTTTTTGGATAAACGTATGTATTTTAAAGTGTTTTATTATTATTATTATTATTATTATTTAGAATTGCAATGTCAGTTTTCGACTTCTAGCTCTTATCAGTTATACTCTTCCAAAGCCTAGCCAACTCTATCTAACCACTTTTATCAAATAGATTAAGCTTGTCAACTTTGGCAAACGTAGTCGTTAATAATCCTTTTAAATACCAACGAATCCTTAATTCAATTTTATAACTTAACAAATTCTATTCGGCTACAAACTAATATTGAAAAGATACAGAAGAGACGTGAGCTACGATAAGTCGTTCTCAGAGTGAATCTGGATTATGAAGTGGAGTGTCTCTTTTATAGGTAGTGGGAGTACAACGCCCCGACCGACAGTTGTGGCTGTTGAGCCCCTTAAGCCAATTGTCGGTCCTTAGGTCGAAATCTTCGAACCGATTTATAGAACTATGATTTTCAACTTGGTCTTAGATGTAAGTCGGTCTATTCTATTATCTTTGTTGGTCATTCTTGATGACACCGAGCTGAATTGATGGGTCCACGCGTTAAGTCGTGTTTTTCCCTCCAAACACATTGTTTTCTTATTATCATTTTTTAATTGTTTTACTATTAATTCTATTTTTTTCCTTCAATTAATCAAATATCATTTTTAAAAAATATATATTTAAAATGATACTATAAAATATAAATCTTATATTTTCATTTTACTATTTTTTATACAGTTATTTTCTTTCATGTAAAGATCATTTTTTTCTTTAGACCAAAATAAAGTATTTAAATATAGATAATTACAAATTTCAACATTTTACTTTTATTTTTTCATGACTTCGTTTTCAAAACTGAAAAAACTTTTAGTTTTAATACTGTAAATGAATAGTTGTAATAATCAATAATTGAAAAAGTTTTTTAGCTTTTTCAATAAAATCATTTATATATGTTTTGGAGATATACGTCAATTACCGTTGAACTATGCTCGCTTTGACATGTTACTCTCGAAAGTTGATTTTATAAATTTGTTGCTAAAAAATATATTAGATTTTATTATTTGATGTGTAAATTAATTATTGAAAATCTTGATTAGGTTGTAGGAGATTAATGATATTACACTTTTTTAGAGGGGTGATTTTAAAAATTGAAATGAGCCGTACAATTTGTTTCCATGGGTACCATTTAGCAAACACCTTGAAAATTTGTCATTATCTTCTAAGTAAAGAGTGTCTAAGTATATTTATATACTACCAACTTGAACATACCTAATTCAAATAATTAGTATAATCGGAAGTTCAAATTTTCACCACCACATTATGAAATTAAAAAATAATATTTATATATTACTTTTATAGGTAACATAAACTTCAACTAAATGGTATAATATCTCCCTTTATTTAGTTTATAAATTTATTTAAATTTGATATTCATTATACATGTAAACAAATTTCATAGCAGCCAATTTATTCCCCTCAAGTTTTTTTTTTCTTTCTAATTTTACAATGTAAAAATATAATCCAATAAAAATATAATCAATTATATGATTTTTGTTTGAAAAAAAATTGTAATAATGGTTAGTGATATATATTTTCTTGAGTACAATAGTTAATGATAAATATTTTATAAGAATCTCAAATTAATATACATGAATGTGTTGTACAAAATAAATACAAAAAAAAAATTGATAAAAAAATGATTAAATAAAAAAAACATTAAAGTCAATATATAAATTATGTGAATATTAGGATTTTTTTTTGAAGATATATAAATTTCAGAAATTCCCAAATACGAATCATATCCCTAAAAACAAATGGCCCTTTATTTATTTTTGTTAAGAACCTGGGTTTGTTTGTCATTGACCCGGTTCACTCCCATCAACGCGAGGGACTCAGAAAAAGCAGTGAAGAAGCAGACGAACCAAAATCTGAAAGTCGAAGTCTTTACACGAACGGAACTCAGGTAACCCTATCGTTTTTCTCTGTTCCTTCTCATTCGGACGTGTATTCGCTGGTTTGAGATCCATTATATCCACTACCGTATGATAGAAAATTTTCGCCTCTTTTTTTTTTCCTTGTTGATTCAGTGGTCGATGATTTCTGTAAATCGTTGGAACTCCATCTCCGGCTCCGCATCTTTCCCTGTAATTTGGGCTAGTTACTCTTCTTATTTTATTGTCA